GAGAGAGAAAGGAAGAGACAGGGGGGACGGTAGGAAGCATCTTTTATCACACGTTCTAGAATTCAATCTCCTTAGACGCATTAGAAAAAGTACAGTTTCTTATATAGCTGCTATATAAACATCAATTAATTGATGATAACATGAGTGAGGAGAATTTCGTAAAGCAAGGAATAAAAGTACGTAATCGTCGCAATTATGAAAAGAAAATGCACTTAGCCAAACTGACAAAGAGAGAGAGAGAGAGAGAGAAATGCTACGGTCGTCAATTAAGCGTAATCGACGGTGTGATCTTTCGCGGGCGATCGGTTCCGCGCCTTCGATCACGCTAATCGCGCTCGCCTTGTCGTCGTGTCCGTCGCGAGAGCGCGCGCAATCACCGCGGCCGCGTTACCGCGATCGCGTGGACGTTACTTCGCGCGAGCTTTTCTTGATGCGCGCGCCAACTACGCGCTGTTCCCACCCGCGGATCGGCATTTCTGCAATCGTCACGATCGATTGCGTCGTCGACGGAGAGTGCGGGTGTGCGGTCGCGATTAGCGAACTGGCTCGCCGCGCGCCGGCGGTAATTTATGTCGACCGGGTCGCGCGTTGCGAGCGAGTCGCGCCAATTAATAATTCAAACGCTCGATCGCGCGTCGCGGATCGGACGCTGAGAGCGCGCCGCGTATCCGCCGCGGCTTTATAATATTTCACGCAATTACGCGTGCGACGCGTGTGTGTAATGGAGAGCGGCGATCGTTTCGCGCGCCCGCGCGATCCGCGCGGAGAGCCTTACTTTCGCGACGAGCGCGCTCGTTAATTCCTTTTTCGGGCGTACGGCGAATTTACGGGGGTTATTTCTCGGTTCCTGCGTGTTCCCGGCAATTAGAGGAAGCGCAACAGATGCGGGGTACTGGGTTGCGCGGCGCGACGTCGCGATAGAAACCGCCACCGGGACACCCGTGTGTGTGCGTGTGTGCGTGTGTGCGCGCCCGGTAACGTAAGCCAGCGTAAATTACAGGCCGATACGCGGGAATTAATCGAACTCCGGCGATATACGGGACGAAACGTACACCGTATATATGTATATTTCCCGCTGGCCCATACAACACGGTCCAATTAAAGGAAAAGAAGCGTACTTGCGAAGGCAACTTTCTTGCGAGCGGCCACGCCGTGCGCGCGACCATAGAGATATATTTACTTGCCAATTAGCCGCATTCAACTCGAGTAGCGGATTCTTGGACCGGTAATGCCGAATAATGAACGCGCGCACCGGCTCGTAGAGCTCGATAGTTTCTGCGTCTCGTATATCCGCCGGCCGGAATAGCGATTCGCGAAAGCATAACCGATCGATTCGGTCCACGTATCATAGATAAGAACTCTCGAACGCTATCGCTTGATCGATTTTATTCGCGGACCTAACCTTCGGCGATAATTGACAGCTCGAGCGGATAACTCTTAGCTTTAGCTCTCTGATTTTCTTCCTTTTTTTTCATACACGGATCGCGCGATACTCCCGATAACTCGCCGATTTCCTTTCCTTTTCTTTTTTTTTTCTCCGCACCGAATATCGGCTCTGAATTATATGAAACGTTTGGAACGTGGAATCCGATAGCGGGCCGAAGTCGCAGTTATTAAGTTAAATCCGCCGATCGACGGATATCGGCGAATCGGAGATCTCCTCGACCGGGGGATGAAATATTGCGCGAGTGTAACTAACGTATGCGCCATAACTCCCAATTATTTCATTTCGACTGAGAGAGCGCACGCGAGTCGAAACCCATGGACGTTCTGTCTATCGCTATGCCCGATCGTACGCCGTATTTTCGGCCAATAAACTCCGCCCGAAAGAGTCGGCGGAAATCGTTAATCCCCTTTTTGATCATATCAAGACGGGTCTCGCTCCATCTCTCTATCCACCTATCTATCTATCTCTTTCATTTTTCTCTTTGTTCGAGCACTCGGAACAGTGAGCAATTACGAGCCGAAAACTGCGTTTCTCGGACGCCGAAAGATAGAAACGGGAATGTTCGAATCGATATACGTTTTTTCGAAATTCTCCCGAGCTGCGACTCGGGGTCGACGAGAAGTCAACGACGAAATGTCCCGCTCGTCATCGTCGGAGCCACCGCGCGGCAACAAATCACTCCTTATATAGCCGATCGAAGTTTGTGGACATGTAAAGCGAGGAAGAAAGTGAAAGAGCGAAAGGGGGAGAGAGAGAGAGAGGGGGGAGAGCAATAAAATGAAACCGACGGCGACAAAGGAGAAAGAGGAAGAAGAGAAGGCGGAGGAGTTGGAGGCGAGAGCGCCGTGAGGCCCCATGCCGAGCCGAGTCACGGCCGGACTTCTTTCTCTCCGAGATCCTTCGACGAGGCCCCGCTCCTTCTTCTTCTCCTTCTTCTCCCTCTTCCCTCGCCTTTATGAGTCTGGCGCCGTGATTTTTCACGGTCTGCGTCGAGGGCTAATCGAAATAGCGAGCGCCACCTCGGCCCGACTATATTTAGCCCTTTTAAGGGCTCCCGCCTCTCTCGCTCCGCTTCGTTGCTGATTTCTTTTTTTCTTTCTTGCCTCCTTCCCACCTCCCTCTTTTTCATTCTTACTCCGTCAGCATGCGAAAATATCCGCCTCGTGACATCGACGACGATGACACGGCATTCCGACAATGTACTGTGTAAACAATCCACGTTATTAGGTATTAATAGATCCGCCGGAGTGGCGTGTAACGAAGCTCGAATCGTGACGCACAATAAATCGATGGGATTTATAGCAGCGCACCGTCTACGTGTTGCCTACGATCCGCCTGTCTGTTTGTCTACTTCGGTTTCGCGGGCCAGATTTTCTCGTTTTATCGAAGAGAGACACCGTTCGCAATCGACACGACGAAGCGGATGTAAATTTTTCTTCAAACACCGTCACATCACAAACTTGATCGTTACAAAATTGGTGAGTCGGTTGAAATGAGCGATTAAAATGAACGCTGAGACAATTTGAATATGCAATTAACCCTTTGAGTACTGAATTATTTTAAGATTTTTATGCCCATGGAACGGATTTAATTTGTCGCTATATGGATTAATATGTAAAAGTAATACATTTTATGCCCAAGTAAGCAGATGACGAGTCTCACTCGTCAAATGTACCGAAAGGGTTAACCTTCCGGCGGGCACATGTGCACGGAGTGCACGCGCATCGGTTTTATGGGGAGAATGCACGTTAAATTCCATCCATCGGTAGCGACACTCGATTAGTTTATTCCTTCAGTGTTATCCCGTCTCTCGAACTGTGCGGTCACAGTTTCACTATGGAGGAATACAGAGTGTAAACACGAGGTTTTAAAGAGGACATCGTTGGCTCTGTGTACACAGTGCACTAACACACCTGCTCTCGCAATCATTTGAATATCAACGTAAGTATAGTTCTCCTATATAATCAATTATATATTTCCAATATATTTTATATCAGCGCTTGAAAACCTCAATAACTCGCGAGGGTCACCAAGTTGCACAATCGGAGACTGATTCCTAAACTTTACTTTATCTCATTGCTGTTGTACGTTTTATTATATTAATTCATAAGAGACATAAATAATAAATTGTTACATATCATAAACTCCTTTCGTATAATATTTACTTCACGATAAAATGCCTGATCCTCGCAGGCTTCCGTTAATATTCCACAATGCACTGTTCGCACGAGGCGGCCGCTCTCGTAACTGAAAAACGCCCGGAAGGTTAAACTTATTGTCCCTTTCCTTCGATTCAATGTAAGAAAGAAGAATTGTAAAGACTTGTAAAAATATTGATCCAGTCCGGGAGAACGAGAATGTCAGCTCACCCCGAATATCACCGAGCGTTCGCCTCCTCTACCTACCTCCGAAACCTACCTTTCGCACCTTCTTTTTGTACCGACCATGCGGACCTTCGGAATACTTGTTCCATGACGCCTCGCACGCCGTCGGAGGTCCGAGCCGACACCTTCGGAACAAGAAATAGAACAATGCGAACCGATGTTGGATCACGATGCGGATTAGCGCGAGCGCAGCATCAATCAGCCGCCGGGTCGTTGATAGGTCCCGCCATTTGCCCGTCGGATAGCGATTGATGGCCCGAAATAATTGAGGCGGCGGCAGGTTGCGCGATAAGTTTCGCGCCCGTCGACTTACGTGTTACTTCCTCTCATTCTCGGGAACGCGATATCGAGCGGTGTCCTTTCCTTCATCGGCGAATGCTCGCATTTCGCGAGAACCGAGCATAATACTTGGCAGCATACGCTGATATAAGCCAACTCGGTGGAAACTCAATTTCCAAGTACTTAACGGGAGCACACTTATATAATATTAATACCCGCGAGAGATAGATCCTCCCCCTCACCGCTGAATCTGTACCCCGCCTTAGTCCGGTCCGCTCTTCTCTCCCTCGTAACTTCGTTATAATCTCATATACATCGCATTAATATTTCCGCACATCATCGCCGTCGGCGGTGCTTGCACAAAGTCGCGAAGAAATACGCCCCCGCAAACCGCCTGCCATTTCTCGCGCTCGCCGCTCTTCCCACGCCGAAGATCGCGATTTCTTCCATTCTGACGAGAGAGACACAAGAGAGAAAGAGAGAGAGAGAGAGAGAGAGACGAAAGACTACATGTTGAATTAGACGTAGCGAACTGTCGTCGCTTTGAAAACGACACGCGTTGTGAGATACCGCGCGGATACAATGGTGCATAAATTCGACGTAATAAATTTGCAACACGGTGCAACCACGACAAACGGAAGTCGGCTTTCAAAGTCGCCAGGTGCGCGCGATCCCGGCGCGCCGAGCGCGCTATCGGCCGCGCGGATAATCCAGGTGGCGAAGCCGGGGAGGAATATATATCGGGGGACGGCGGTTCCAGCAGCGCGAAGGGTTAACGAGCTTTTCAAAATGACATACGCGCCGACCTGAGCGGCCCATTCGGCATCGCCGGGACGAACCCCGTCGTCTGGGCGCGTCTGGGTAACACGAGACCCGGTTTTGTGTTTCAGGCGGGCATGCTGCACGGCGACCACGGCGAGTTCTGGCTGGAACCAGTCGCCGTGTCCCTGGAAGAAAAACGCGGCGTGTCGCCGGACGGGGACTTAGGCGCCGGCGGTGCCCGCCGCTCGTCGTCGGTCTATCAGGGTCCGACGGCGGGCCGGCCTCACCTAATCTTCCGCCGCTCGGCCGAGCAACGGCAGCTCAAGATCGGCGTCGGCGGCCGTGGCAAGCGACGGCGCAAAAAGAAGAGGAGACAGGAGAGAAACTGCGGCACCCGCGGTGAGAACAGAGCCCCGACACCTTCTTCTTGTTCCTCTTTCGCCTTTCGTCCGCGCGCCGGTCCCCCGTACGGCACACCTTGTCCCACCTCTCTCTCTCTCTCTCTCCTTCTCGCTCCCTCGCCCTCTCTTGTAATATGTATCGCATGTATTTATGTGTCTGCCGCGCGTATAATGTAATTGGACGCGCCGCAGTACGGAACGTGGGCGTGTCATCGACGCCTCGTCTGTCCTTTATTTTTCGCCGACGATAATATCCGAGCGGGGGGAGGGGGGAGGCAGGAAGGAAGGGTACGAAAGAGAAAGGGTGTGGAAGCGAGTGTGTGTAGTCTCACGCGCGGGAGTACCGCGCGGCGGTAATGTACGTGGCATAGGTGACGGTCGCGGCGCGCGTTTCTCACACTGTCATTTTTCCGATCGCAGTAATGACTCCGTGATGTCTCACGATGGGAGGTGATGGTTGCCGCGCGCAGGTGCCGTTCACCATGCGAAAATCTTCGACGCGATCCCTGTCGCTATCCGAATAACGCCCGCGAGTTGATCGAGCCGATTCGTCGGTCGCACGAATCCCGCCGAAATCACCGGCTACCCGCGTCTACGGTCTTCGGCACGACTTCGAGATACGACTGAGAGGCCGCCCCGACGACCCCACATTTCAACGGATTAAACGGCTCGCACGAGCCGATATAGAAGTAAGATCGCCCGGTTGATATGTTCCTCCGCGCGGGTACGAAGCCCGCGCGAGGGGGATAATCCAATTCGGCGCGAACCCGTAATTAACTGCAATGAGTATCCATTTCGGCAAAGCCGACCGATCTGTCGGGCGGACCAAATGAAATCTTAATTGCGGCCCTGCAATCTGCCAATCTGCATAAATCAGCCGGGGCATGTCGAGGCGTCCAACAATGCAGAAACTATCCCCGCGTCTCGGGATCTCGATTGACAAGGATGAGGGGCACGGCGAATCTCTCGCGCGCACGTGGGGAAATATTGTAGGATAAATTGCCGGAAAATTGTGCGATACCGGATCACAACGGAATTATCCCAAGTCGAGGGAGGGAAATCTCAGTTCTACATTTCAGTTTATTTAGGTTTACTTCAAAAATTTCCCCGTTGCGCCCCCTTCGATGCTACAAGTGGCAAGTTTTCTGCACTTGAGAACATAATATAGAATTAAGTAAACTCAACACAAACATCGACACGGGATAACTGAAATTATGACGTGTGTTGTAATCTTTACTGATGTATTTCACCGTACACCGTGAAAAATTACGACATACAATAATAATTTCAGTCATAATTCCGGTGTAGTAAATAACGTGATAAAATTTCGTCATAATTTTCGCTATGATATTTCACCTGTGTAAAAGTGACGCTTTGTATATCCGCGATACAGCGCAGCAAGCTTGTCAATTATTCACGTAGACTCCGACCGGCACTTGCGAGCTTTGGTCGCGCAGGCGAGAGAGACAGGCGAACGAGGAGAGAGCGCGGATTCGAATATTAGCAACTACGGTAATCATGACAGCACGTGAAATATCCGACAGAACCGCGTCGATTGACAGAGACGCGGCTCGAATGGCAAACTCAACCGGGCCTGGTCCAGGTTCAAGGCCGTGGCCGAAGGAAACATCAAACGAAGCTACCAAGGTGGCACCGTTCCAAGAGATCGATCAGCACACCGCGTCATGTCGAGGTTCTTGTCGTCGCCGACTGGACAATGACGTTGTTTCATCAGGACGGCGACGTCGAGACTTATCTGCTGACCATTATGAACATGGTGTCCTCACTCTATCTCGACCCCACCATCGGCAATTTCATCAACATCGTCGTCGTCAAAATTACTCTCATCGAGGACAAAGAAAAGGAGGTATCTGCATTATTTATCGGGTCACTCTTAGATTGATTCCCCGCGATAGACGCGCCCGGATGTTCGTGATGATACTTTGAAATATCGATACACGATCATTAGATATTCGATATTTTGTTTCTTTCGTTGATCTTTCGTTTCAAAACAAATTTTTTACTTAAGATAAAGGTTCATATTCGTTGAAGAGTCTAACAGTCATGTTTATTAATCGGAACGTTAGTTTCTTTGGAGCATGCCAATGATGAAGTTTGTTTGGATGCGATAAAATTTATTAAATTTGAAGAGATCTTTTTCTCGGAGCACGCATTTTCTCAGGAGGCTCGTTGAAAAATCTCGGCATGGCTGCTCTCGGATTCCTCTCTGACAATATATAGAACCTCGGTAGAAATGTATCTAAAGGACATGTCATGAAGTAATGATTTTCTCTAATATCGATAAACTTCTAATCAATATATCCGTATATCGGTATTATGTATTTCGATTCAAAATATCGATATGCTCTTCCGCACATCTCTACCGCGAACTGACACGTTCCGCGTCACTCCGGACGGATCGATTACTCGAGATTTAACCGTTTCTGTCCCAGAAAGAGCTCAACATCTCGGACAGCGCGGACGACACCCTGTACCATTTCTGCAAGTGGCAACAGGAGCAAAATCCCGGCGACGATTCGCACCCGAATCATCACGACGTGGCGATTCTGGTGACGAGGAGGGACATTTGTTCGCGCAAGAGTATTTGCAGCACCTTGGGAGTGGCGCATGTAGCCGGCATGTGCCAACCGGATCGCAGCTGCAGCGTCAACGAGGACAATGGGATCACGTTGGCGCACACAATCACGCACGAATTGGGACATAAGTAAGCGAGAGCGCGCGGGATCGCGTCTATATTTGCCGAAAGGGGAAGCTCGATAGAAACGTTTTGAATGATAGAAAAGGTTCCGAGTCGAGATTTCAATCCCAGTTTAAGTCCGACTCGATTCTACATTAACTGTTCAAAGATCTTCTATCGTACTCCATTGGTGCTGCAAACGGGGAAGTTATTTTCTCCGCTTGGAAATTTAACGTAGAATTAAAATTTAAACTCTAAAGAATTAAATTCCTCTCGTAGCATTTACCGTGCTGTGAAGCACTTACTGTGCTTCTTTAATGCTACAAGTGGAACTTATTTTGGGGTTTTTTTTTTTTTTACTTGAAGACTCAATGTAGAATTTAAAATGCCGTCGGGGCGAATGTTTTACGCACACGAAATAAAGTCCTAATTAACGTCTCAGACGCAACGTCACGTTCACGTGTACGCGCAATTTCACGAATATGCATTCCACCGTGTGTTCAGTTTTGGAATGTACCACGACACGGAAAAAATCGGCTGCAGTAAACGCGACGGTGACACCTTGCACGTGATGACACCTTCTTTTGAAGTGGACGCTGTCGGAGTCGCTTGGTCCAGGTGTTCCAGGAGAGATATCACGAACTTTTTGGAGTAATGAAAACATAAAAAAAATTACTTCAAGTAAAATTCGATAAGTGGAATGTGATATGACGATTTCTACGCGGAAAACGTGCTGGATTCAAGTAAATAATTATGCCAATATTCCTTCTCCAAATTTTCACTTGGATTAAATAAATTTCACTTGGATCAAGTAAATATATTTTATTTGAATAATTTACTGGAAAAATATTTTATTTTGATGAAGTAAATATTACTTAACCCGAGTAAAAATTTGCTAGGGAGTATCGGAGCAATTATTTATTTCGACCCAGCACTTTTTTCGTGTAATTCTCACTCTTCTTCTCGTATCTTTTATCTTACTCGCATAGGGGAACGTAATAAGTGTAAATATAAGCGTGGATTTCTCCTCGAATTCCAGCCAAGGTAAAGGCGACTGTTTGGAAGACGAACCGTCGGACAATGATTATTACACATATCCGGACTTACCACCCGGCGCTATGTACAACGCCGAGCACCAATGTAGACTGCAATTCGGTGTAAAGGAAGCCGCTGTCTGCTCTCCGTTGCAGGAGGTAAACAGAGATCATCGATCGGTAGGCGATCAGATCGGACTTGACCTCTGCCTGGAGCAACCTAAATTTAAACGCGACCGCGACTCTTGTGATTCCAGATATGCTCGAAACTTTGGTGCATCGTGGACGGCACGTGCAGCACTATGCTGCATCCGGCAGCCCCGGGAACGCACTGCGGGAAACACATGGTACGATAAAAAGAAATATGATAAATCCTTTGTCGTTGATTAGATCGTCGATTTATCTCGGGAGCTTGACAAAGTTCGCAAGTTAGGAAAGACGTTCGGTAACTTTTCGCGACTTTTTTCGCATTGTTTCCTTCACAATAAATGTATGAACGAAACGCTTTACTAACCCTGCCTCTCATTCGTACCCGCCCTGATCTCTCCTACACTCGATTCTTCGTTAAGCACAGCTCTACGTCGCTGCTTACAGTGGTGTCAAAACCAGGAATGCGTGCCCATCGTCGATCGACCGCGGCACATCGATGGCGGCTGGGGTGAGTGGGGCTCGTGGAGCAAGTGCTCGAGAACTTGCGGCGCCGGTGTCTCGATAGTCGAGAGGAAATGTGACCATCCGGAGCCGGCGCACGGCGGAAAGTTCTGCATAGGCGAGAGACGCCGCTACAAGATCTGCAACACGAAGCCCTGCCTGGAAGGCAAGCCGAGTTTCCGCGCGGTGCAGTGCAGAAACTATAACGGCAAAGAGTACAAGGGAAAGAACTACACCTGGCTGCCGTATTTCGACCAGAGTAAGGGAACTTTTAAGCGTTGTTCGATGCGAACGTTCTCCGCGCGGTCGCGCCTCCGTATCTCCGTAACTCGGCAGGCTGCTTCTTCAAGTAGACCCGGCGTATGTGTAAGAAGTCAGGGCTCGCACGCGGCAACGCGAAACGCAATTAACGAATGATTCCCGTGTTATGAGTCACGAGACACGAGAGGACGCGCCCGCGCGATCTAATTAATATGACGGTTTAAACGCGAACTAAAGGAACTATGCGAAAATAAGGAGTTAATTGCCTGCATAATACAACTGACAATTTAATTACCAAACGTAGTTTTTAATTATGTGGGAGTTAAGAACTAGGTACGGGGACAAGAAAATCAGTTGAATCAATTAAACTTCAGTTGTGTCATATGGACAGCTAATTTTTACTTTTATTCGTGGGAACTAGTTTTTAACTACATGAGCTAATTTTTAGCTGTGGGAAAATTTCCTCCATGTGCAACGTGTACAATTTCATTTGCATCATCTCCCGTTTAGTGGAGCCTTGCGAACTCTACTGCACCGACACGGACGAAAGCGTAATCGTACCTTGGGGAGAAGCTGCGCTCGACGGTACCCCGTGCAATGTTGGTACCAGGGACATGTGCATCGCAGGCATATGCAGGGTTAGTATACTTTTACAAGAAGAAGAGAGAGAACAATTTTTTTTATTACGCGCATAGAAAATTTTCTGGGATTTGATTGGAATCTATCTCGATTTTCCAAAAATGATGGTTTCTGACTGGAAATCCGTGTGAAGATCCGGATTAGAGATATAATTTTATGAAAAGTGCGATTCTAATTAGGAAACCCAGACATATTCCATTTTCTCTGTCCAATGTTTATCCAAAGCTTTCTTTTTATTAGATTTCTATTTTATATTTACGTTGAACAAGATACACGAAAAGCTTTCAGGTAGGGAAAATGAGATCTATCCGGTTTTTTCATATAGAAAATTTTATGAAATCTAATTGGGATCTCTGCTCTGATTAACCAATTAAGTTGCAATTAAACGAGAAACCCATACAGATTTCATTTGTTCTGTCTAATATTTCCTTAAAGTTTTCTTATAATTGGAATAAGAATAGAATTCCTAATTGGTATTGTAATATATTATTTATTTCTTTAGGATACGTTTGGATAATCTGAATCAGAATTGATCTTATATTTGGGACTGTTTGAGAAATTTCTATACGAGTACATCGAAAGGCCTAGCAATTTTCTAAATGCGGTTTAAAAGCTGGATCGGACAGAAAGACACAAATGTTTTTGATGTTATCCGAATGTTTCCGATTCTCAGAAGGTCGGTTGCGATTGGATAGTAGATTCCGACGCAACGGAAGACCGCTGCGGTATTTGTCACGGCGACGGTACTCAGTGCGAGACTACCAGCGGCTTTTACAACAAGAGCGAAGGTTTGGGGTACAAAGAAGTGGTCGTGATACCGGCCGGCTCGCGAAACATCAAGATCGAGGAGACCAGTCAGAGCACGAATTACATCGGCATCGGCGCGCCGAATTCCGACAAGTACTTCCTGAACGGGAAACGGTGCGTATGCCGCGAGATTGGAAGTTCTCGAACTGCGCGCGAGCGACAATGCGCGCGAGCAGCTGGTCGCGAAATTCAAACGTAATTGGAGGCTGTAAAGCTCTAACGCGGCTATATAATCCATGCTTCTTATCGTGCCACTCGCGATTGCTCGAGTTACGTATACACTTTTATGGGCGAGCGGGTGAGAATTCGCGGCAACGCGCGACCCTATCACGCTTTAACGCGAGAAACTTTCGCGCCATTAACGATCGTGATCGAAGCTCTAAGCCGAGATTCTGATCAGACAGGCAGATCACTTTGGCGGGCGAGTATGATGTCGCCGGGACGCCAGCATTGTACGAACGTGAACAAGATAAAGAGAAGATCAGAATCCCGGGACCCATCAAGGAAGCCATCACGGTCTACGTGAGTGTTTCTCAGCGATTCGACGTACCAAACGCTTTTCTATCACAAGAATTGAGAATTATAAAACAAGTAAAATGAAATAAGTAACGTAAAATAAAGTAAGCAATAAATAAATAACTATGTAGAAGACGGGATAATAAGTAGGTATATAGGAAACGAGACTACAAATAGTGATTGACGATATTATACGCGTCTTTTCCGGTATGCAGTCGATCTTGCAATTTAGCGAGTGTTAACGAAATTATCCCGCACCTACACTTTCAGGTCTGTTTTTTTTTTTTCACTGAACTAGTGTAAACTTGTAGAACTTAGAAAGAGACAGATATACGGCTAAGATTTCTGATGGAAGGAGGAAGAGAAGAGAACTGGTACAAATTAGTCCTGAGCAGCATGAATTGGTTGGCTAACCATTGCCTAACGTTTGTCCAACGTTAGGAAACGGTTGACCATCTAATTTTCTCGGAGTGCAGCCAGTTCGATGAGAAAGAACGGACCTTTCATTTCGACCGTCGTTATTAAATAACTCCTGCCATTTCAGGCAATTACCCGAAGTCCCTCCAGCGGCAACGAGGTGCATTACGAGTACACGGTGCCGAAAAAGGAACCTATACGCGCACCGGAATACTCGTGGGTGTTCTCCGACTGGAGCCTCTGCACGGTCACTTGCGGCAAGGGCACTCAAACTTCGCAGCCGGTCTGTCACGAAAAAAAGAGTGGCATCGTCGAGAACCACTTCTGCGACGGTATAGAAAAGCCGCAGCCGCAGTCGCGTGAATGCAATTTGAATTCGTGTCCCACGAGGTGAGCTAACTTGAAATTCGACCGTGCCGGCCATCTTCGACGGCGCGTCTCTGTTTCGTGGCGCAAGGTAGATCCTAGACGGTTGATTAGAATTCCGCTCGACCTTCGATCGCCATCTTTTATGTAATTTTGCCCTATGAAAAAGAGAAAGAGAGAGAGAGAGAAGCTGTGTTCTAAAGGACGCCTCACAGGCATTCTTTAGACGTCTTACTATCTCAAAGACGTCTGTACAATGTCTTAGGACGGCTCAGGCTTGGAACACAACGCGTTGTACGTCGCTGTCGGATGTCGGAATGCAGCCGATGGTTCTCCAATGCGGAGAACTCGTTTTCGAAAAGTCAATTCTCTCTTCGGGCCCATCGGCTGGGCTCGACATCCGACAGCGACGTATTGTGTCCCAGACCTCGATGTCTTCTGGGTTATTTCCGTGCTGGTTTCCAACATCCATTCAACGCATTATTCAGAGATTAGATCAAAGCCCGGAGTTACATGGTATTTGATTAGACAAATAGCGGCGTCTCGCTAACACACACCCGATTGACATATTTGACCGACTGATTTCAGATGGTGGGTCGGCCCGTGGCAGATGTGCCCCGTTACGTGCGGCAAAGGCGCGCTGCGCAAGCGATCGGTGATGTGCGTGGTATCCGGCACGGATCGAGCGGACCTGGCCGTGCCTGATCGCGATTGCAAGAAGAACGAACGGCCGAAGGAAGTCGAGCCGTGTCCCGATCTGCCGGTATGCGGGCCCACCACGGAGGTGCCGCTGATCGTGTACGCTGACAATAAGGACACGTCGTTTTATAACATCAGCGACCAGGACGGCATCACGATAGTTAATGGCCTCACCACCGACGAGCCGGAGATCCTCGAGTTCGACAACGTCGTCGACGAGAACCCGGACAATTCCATGTACAACACCAGGCCGAAGTGGACGGTATCGAAATGGAGTCACTGCTCGAACGGCAAGAGAAGCCGGAAAGTCACCTGTTTCGTGCCGGGCGATTGTAATCCGGATAACAAGCCGGCCAGCGTCGAGGACTGTCGCAGCGGAAAATGGATCACCGGTAAGCTCCACTGATCGGTACTTCGTGCGTTCCTATCACGAGACGGTCTCTCCCTCTCTCTCTTTCTTCGATGAATATAATTAAAATTCTCTCTCATCGTGCGGAGTAATATTATGCAGAATGTTACCGCACCGTGAGGCTAATTAAGATAATCACCCTCGAACTCCCCGAGTGCGAAGATACACGGGGACGAATTAATCATTCGCCGTCCGTACGGTCAAGTTTGTCACGAACGGCCTCACGCAGGGTGTTTATTAACTCTGATTTCAGGAAATTGGGGAACTTGCAACGCGACTTGCCTCGTAAAGTCCGGAGTTAAACAGAGGGAAGTGCAGTGTCGCGATCGAGCGACGAACTTGCTGTCCGACGATTGCAACCCCGAGAAAAGACCGTTCGACACGAAGCGCTGTTATTACCGGCGGCAGTGCTACGAGAAATATGGTAATTGCATCCTCGCAGTTGAGAGCTCCCCCGTTCGTCTCTTATGAGAATCCGTCATCTTCTCCTTCTTTTTTTCCCTCCTTTTCTCTCCTTTCTTTCGCGCAAACTTCCTTACGAAGCTCACGGTCGCCGTATCAGAAGGTACGTTTCCAAGATCTTGACAACAAATAGTGAAAAATAGTAGCGTAATCACGACATTATTTCCGGAGATCCTCGCGAAAAGTTTCTTCGTCGATACTGCACGATATACGTGTATTATTTACGATCCAACTGTGTCGGGCGATATTGAAAATTTAAGCTCACATTCGTCGCGCCTTGGTAATTGATGTTGAACGGAAGTTTTGAGGCGATCCAGCAGAGTCGTAGCGGAGTTAAGAGAATTAGAACGTAGCCCGCTGTGTAATGCTAAGTTATGCTAGTTATGTTACCGAGAGAGCGTTCGGCTTGTCCAAAGTTGCGGAATATGCCCTCGTCCGAAGGCGGTGAGAAACTCGAATTTACGTGGGGTAACCGCAACTCGTAACGACTTAGTTTACGAGATCGCACGCGACGCCACTCGATTTGCATGCGCGTATGACGCGTTCAAATACTATACAATAACTTATCGCGCGTAATATCCCCGAGCTGTAACAACCAACGCCATCGAATTATCAGATGGAAATCGCGAACCCGAAATATTTGCACGATCAGTTTCGACTCATTGAACTCTCTCGGATGCTCGAAATATCGATTTTCATCTGATAACGCACTCGAAAGAATTTGAAACGTTCTTTGACTCTGCTCGCAAACGACGAGCGGATTTATCCATCGTATTTCCATTTCCACCAAAATTTGAATTCGTCGGCTGAATTTAGAAAATCCCGCTTAATCGATGAAATGTTACATGCGTACACATACGAATGTGACTCGATTTTTCAGATTGCAAGAATGGCATACCCTCGCCGGCCGTGTGCGCGAACTACAGACGCATGTGTGAAGCATCATCGATCGCAAAGGAAAACTGTTGCGCCGCATGTATGAAACGACGGCGACACGTCCGTCACAACAGACGTCACATAACCGCCGAGTGACGAAGTAAAAAGCCGAGTCTGCAAGAGTCCCGTATTTTGCGACTCGAAAGAGAAGAATCTTTGCAGGGGACCCGTCCGTCCTACCTTGTCCATACGTCGAATTAAGATATTAATTAACGATATCGATAGATTCAAGTTTCATGTTTAACATGTGCAACGACGATAGTGAAATGCGCGACAGAGGGTGATATTACGAGATTATATTTTGTAACTTTGTACCACACACACGTATACATATATGTTTATGTATATTTTGTACGGAGATATAACCCTAGAGTGCCTTATTAGCGTGCCTTAGGTTTCGTTAGGATACTAATTAAAAGAATCGTTATAAACGCCAAATATTTTTCGGTATTTTAGTAGAATAACGTTCGACATTAACAGAAGAGACTAATGTTGTTAGAAAATTTTTATACGATAATAAAAAAGAAACAATTCTTATGTTATGAATCTGGTTCATCGCACTTGCCATGTTACTCGACATTTCTTTCGGATAAACAATTTTCTTTTACTAATACCAGTAAGTTTTTAACAATAACACTTGTAACGTTTTTCTGTGAAATTATTATAACGCGATAAAAATTGTTGTATTTTTATAACTGTATGGCTAAGAGAACCTTCGAATACGTAACACAGTAAGATCTAGGATATTTAATTGTTTTAGGAGTAAGATTGAATGTTCTTATCTGGCGAATTCAAAGGATAAATTTCTTAATCGAATATCCACGCTTGATATATGAATGTCCGAAATAATTCACAAATAATATTTTTGTATGCTTTTTTTATATTACGATATCATGAAACTTTTCCCGTCTATTTCGACTTAATTAGCGACAAAATACGCAATGAAGTAGCGTTAACTATTAATCCTTACGAATAGTTTATACGTTACTATATTTTCAAACCTTTTACTAATTTATGTTAAATTATTTTTTATATTCATCTATATATGTAATAAAAGTTCCTCCGTTCTTTCACGAAACGAAGTATATATATTTCACAGCCAATTTATAAGGATAACCGACTACTGTTGCAATTATTTGCAATATATATAAACGCCCTGAGAATATTAATATTTAATACTCACCGTTGGCGACGACCATCACTATTGTGCTACATTTTCGTGTTCATTAAACGACCGTAGCAGCCTAATATCAATCTCGTCGTATATTCGATATTTTTATCGCGACACACAGCGCACCGCGTCTCTATGACCTACGCCGGACAAGCTTTTGGGTCAAGTCATGTCGAAAAGATCCTCTCTCCTCTCTTTGCCTGCACGACCTGCTTAAAGTATCACGACGGTCACTAACGGTATATCTTCATGGATATATGACCTCATACACGCTCCACTTGAGTGTAAATGTGCGGAGCACGCAGGAGGTGGCCTGCCGTCCTTTCAGAGACGCTTACTCGATACTTCCCGGAGGAGCCGTTGCCGTTATATTCTGTACATTTGAAAGTTAAATGGATTTTTGAAACTTCAACGTTGCGATCCGGTATTACGGAGAATCTTAATTAAGGAGTTAAGTCATGCAAGCTCCTCGCTCGTTATATTCTCCTGATACGATTCTGTGAAAATTACGCGGCGTCCGGAATCTGTCAGAGTTTAGTTTGGTATTAGGAGAACATGATCAGCGAGAGGGTTAAGGAGTTGAGTCATGCAGGCTCCTCGCTCGTTATATTCTCCTGATACGATTCTGTGAAAATTACGCAGCGTCCGGAATCTATCGGAGTTTAGTTTGGTATTAGGAGAACAGAATCAGCGAGGAGGTTAAGGCGTTGGGTCATGCAAGCTCCACGCTCGTTATATTCTCCTGACACGATTCTGTGAAAATTACGCAGCGTCCGGAATCTATCGGAGTTTAGTTTGGTATTGCATGACTCAATGCTTTAACCCCCTCGCTGATTCTGTTCTCCTGATACCAAACTGAACTCCGATGGAATCCGGACGCTGCGTAATTTTCACAGAATCGTATCACGAGAATATATAGAGCGAGGAGCTTGCATGACTCAACGCCTTAACCTCCTCGCTGATCCTGTTCTCCTGATACCAAACTAAACTCCGATAGATTCCGGACGCTGCGCAATTTTCACAGAATCGTGTCAGAAGAATATAACGAGCGTGGAGCTTGCATGACTCAACGCCTTAACCCCCTCGCTGATCCTGTTCTCCTGATACCAAACTGAACTCCGATAGAATCCGGACGCTGCGTAATTTTCACAGAATCGTATCAGGAGAATATATAGAGCGAGGAGCTTGCGTGCCTCAACGCCTTAACCTCCTCGCTGATCCTGTTCTCCTGATATCTAAACTCCGACCGAATCCGGACGCTGCGTAAAAGTCGAAATACATCAATATAAAACTGACGTGTTACCATATACGTACAATCGAAATATCTGTGATAAGATTCGAATCTAGAGAATCTACGCGTTGTTAAATATTAGATACTTAGCGAGGAATGAACCATCAAATCGACGTCAAATTAATGTCAATGTTATATTGAATCGAAATTACATTGAATCGAAATTATATTGAATCGACGTCAATTTGACGTCAATATGTTCATTTCTCACTAATTAGTAGCTAGAGATCTGTAAAATCTCCAATCTTAGAAATCAAACGATCGTTAAAATATGAAAAATGTTTTTGCAAAATATTTTAGAGACAAACATTATGCATCAGCTACATATATATAGAATCAGATTGACATAATGAAATATAAATGAAACATAAAAAAAATACTTCTTTCTTTAATGTGCGGATATCGATAAAAAAGATATTGGTAAAAATGTTAACATTTAGTTTATAATATTAATTTGGCATATTTAAATTCTTTATTAATTGTATTGATTTTATGTATTATCGAGCAAATTTAATTTTTGAAACACCTATTTTCTCAAAGCACATACCTTTACTTTCTTTTTCACATACGAGTTTGGTGTTTTTTTTATGTTTTATTTATTTTTCATATTTTTAAACTCCTTTCGTTAGTTTCATAAAATCGGTAATATTGATCGGTAATAAATTCCCGGGAAAAAAATCATATATGAAATTTATTTATATATAACTATACATAATCATATATGTCAACAACGAAAAAATATTGTTATTTAGAAATTATATGCAAATAGAATCGAAGTAAATGCTTTTGACTACTCGTGCTTCCGGCAACATGATATCGACATTTAATTAAATGCCATAAATAATCTTTTCCATACGGACATATATGATCGTATATATAGCCACATATATGGGTAAAATTCATATATTATTTTATATAATTATATATAATTTTATGTAATTATACATAATCATATATAATCACTTTTTCCCGGGTTGACTGCCTGATTCGCAATACCTCAAGCATGGTCCTTACTCCACCGTTTAACTAAGCGGCGCAAATGATAGAAAATGCCATTACACCAAGATCTGCATAACTCGATCCAAGTTTCTTCTCATTTTTCTTATCACACATACCCTTGGAACGCTTGGAAATGCTATGTTGCATCAGTGCATCCATTTTAATACGAATGCCCACCGCGAGAGGCGCTGTTATTAAGTTCCATGAATACAGTAGTTTCCTCCATTCATAATTAAGTCGGGTAACCTGTACGCTTCTCTGCCACTTTTGTTTTGACAGCTCGCGAATGATTGATTGGTGCCGCAACCAAGTTCGTACAATTGCGAGGGATTTTGAGTGAAATTTCCCGCTGTCTGGAAAGCATGACGTGCGGTAGAATAATGCTCACGAGTTGTGTCTAGCAAGCGTGTTTACAATAACTCGTGAAAAATGTCCGCGATTATAGATGACAAGGTTGTCGCAGGTGCAAAGGGCTCAAACACCGTTAAGGAAGATCCGATCGTGGCGTTGACGGTAAGCAGAATCTGTTAAACTTCTCCCATCGTTTATTCTGTTCATAAATTACTTCGAGTTATCGAGTAATGGTTTTCAATTCAAAATGATACAACACTGCTTTTATTAATATTGATTGATCATTACAAATTTCAGGAAAGGGTGAACGCTTTGTATTTTTTCCGGGATCGCTATTTCGAGACGCATTCTATCGACGAGGCGATAAAGAAGAACAGTGACGTGGAGAGGGAGATGAAGGACACGTTGAGCAAGTTCGACGAGTGTAAAGGATATGAGATTGACGGTTCACGCGCAAATTACTATTACTTAAAGGGCAAAGCTCTGAACGTTGTGGATCGTTTCATTCCGCAGGCAGAGGAACTATTGAGCAAAGCTGTGAAATTGGAACCGAAATTGATAGAGGCTTGGAATGAATTGGGAGAATGTTACTGGAAAAATGATGATATGCTGCAAGCGAAGAACTGTTTCATCGGTGCCCTGCCACACGTACGTTTCCTTTCTTCTTTTCATCCATAAGATCTCTGTCTGCGAATGACCGCAACCTGTTTGGTAACTATATTTCCTTTCTTTTATAGGATAGAAATAAAGTGTCTCTTCGAAATTTATCAATGGTACTTAGACAAGAGCAGACTTCGTCTGTGGAACAGCGAATAAAAAATATTCAGCAGGGTGTGGAATATGCCAAAGAGGCTGTCAGCCTGGACACAACAGACGGCATATCCTGGGCCATATTGGGAAATGCTTATTTGTCTTCCTTCTTTACAGTGGCGCAAAGTCCAACTACCTTACGTCTGTGTATGTCAGCATACATGCAAGCAGTAAGCTAACTATGGTTGATATTTATCTGTCATCGTCGCATGTTACTTCACGTATTTGTGGGAAAGCATTGTCCTTTAAAAGAAGAATGACAACTGATATCTGATTATTGTTAAATAGTTAATTGTTTACCACAATTTATGATTATTATCGAACTAAGATAACCCCGCGATAAGTATCTTATTCATCAATGCATCTCACGTTGAGTTTGCTTTCAAGTGAATTTTACATAACGTTTATATAATTTTCTTTTTATTTTCTTAAATTGAAAGACTCTTGTATTGTTTTCAGGAAAAAGATATCATTGCCAGAAGTAATCCTGATTTGTTTTATAACAAGGCGGTAGTAAGTATCGATAAACTTTAGTGCTGATCTCGGCATTAAACGTATTTGTTAATTAGGCGCATGAAATTGCACCAACCCGGTAAATTTGTTTCAGGCCTTGAAATATCAGGAAGAATATAACTTAGCTTTACGTTCGTTCGAAAATGCGATGGCGCTGGATCCATTATGGGAAACCCCGCGTAACAAGCGGGACGAATTACTACAGTATCTTAAAGATATACAAAATTCGATTAATAACAGCGGATACGTAAAACCAAAACGACTGTATCAAATGATACGGGTACATATATAGCGTCGGATTAATAATCAATTAATAGTTGCTATACAAGTTCTGTTAATTGTATAACGTGTGATTTTGGCATAATATACATATTTATAGGTTTATGATTAAATACACAGGCATTGGATATTAAACACTTAGGACCATACAAGGGTGGATCGTACACATCTGGGGAGAAGTCTATCAAGTTAGACCTAATTCCATTGAGAGAATTAGCTCTCGGACTGAACACGGAGAAAGTCGTGTTTGGAAAGGTGGTTTGTTGGATACAGGACTCGGATTGCGTCCCGTTGTGAGTATTTATCCTTCACACCTTGTTGCGCATATTTCTCTATTTTCTATGTTCAGTGTTTTTCCCATTAAAAATCTATAATTATCTGTTTCTCTTTATTCAGTGCTTTTTGTCTCGTCGATGAACAAAAGACGTGTATCGTTGTTACTGTGTATAATTTAGCTAAAGGTCGAGGAGTCACGGTCGGAGACTCCGTTGGTATACCGGAACCTTTTGTCGTACATCAGAAGTTCTCCTACATAGACAATGTGAGTGAGACGCGCACGTTACAATGTAAGGTTTGTCGTTTTTTATACAATCATATTTTTCTTCCCAGGATTTCGATTACAGATCTATTCGCATCGAAACACCGGTCATACTCGTAGTTAACGGAAGAAAGTTAGGCCGGGAACAGCAAGCCGGCGCGAACTTGCACACCTTCAAAAAAACGGATTAAGTCTGAGATGAAGTACGTTGATCGAGCGACGAGTCACACAGAAGCTGGAGAGGATGATTTTCTATCCTGTCCTTTTTCAACGGCAAAGGTAACACGCGAAAGTAACGCAAAGAAGCTCGTCGGTATACTTCGTTATACTTCGGTACATTGCTTTCCTCAAGTATACTGCGCGTGGCACGTGAATTCAAAATGAATATATCTATAAAAAGCGTTACATTGGCATTAATCAAAAATAATCTGCAGCATTATTTAGAGCATATATGCTACGTTATAACAATTTTATATTTTATAACAACGTACAAGAGAGAAAGGTACTCACATGCACGTCTTTGAACCATCACATCTTTGAAATCAACGAAACTAAGGCTAAGACGTACGTGTTATTGCGATATTATTTGCACAAAAATTGGCAAACATCGCTAATTTACAGAGTTGTAAGCGGCAATACTCGCTAATTTACAGAGTTGTAAGGCTTCGCCTCCTCATCTTTCACGTTATATTTCATGACAAGAGAGTATAAGATCGTCGCAATACTTTATTTATACAACGTTTTAAGTCGTATTTGTTGTTTGATGTTAAATCATTCATCGCAGCGTAACCCGTAACGCGCGATTATATCGTACGAGGAGAAGGAATGCTGAAGTGTACACGATGCAAAAGTATTTTCTTGTTTCAACTATCGTAATTATATACAATTCGCTGAGATGCTAATGTATTGGGAAACCATATCGCATAGTATCGCACGCTTGTTGTAACATCGTTATCGTCTTCTATTACGTTGTGATATAATGGAACGCTGTTTGTACTAAGCAGCTGTAAATCAAAGTATTAAGCCGGAGCAAGTATGATGACTCGTAGAAATCGCACTTGTTTCGTCGTTCGTATCAAATTTTATGCATCGGTAATATGGCATTTTTCGTAGCTCTCTTTCGAACTTTGTTTCTCGTTCATACAAAAAATTGACATCAGGCGTTGTGTGTACCATTTCGAATCATTGAATCAGAGATACACATGGGATTATCCACATATACAGACTGTCATAATATACATATTCTTTTATGTATAATTTTGGCTTACATCACAAATGCTACTCTACTCTCTGAGTAATATTTGGAAATATCGTAGCTATTTTCTCGAATAAACACCAGTCATGACATACGAATACGTGAACACAACGGATACACAATGGAAAATTTCACAGGCCAATAGACCACAAATCTGTATTAGATCTGTTCTTCACAGTTGAACTGACTACACCAGCTTGCACTAATTCTACTTCCCTCTTTTCTACAGGGAATCACAATTGTATTTCTGTTTATTTTTTAAGTTTCGAAAGTGTGCATTAGTTCAGCGACAAAGAACAAACTCGTTATGACTATTATGCCGGTCTGTACGTACATGTAAACCAAAGAAGAACAATTCGTATCGGCCAATTTAGAATATACTAAATTTCTCCGGCGTGAGATCACGGGACGAATCCTGCTGTTTACGTAGTGATTCTTTGAATTCTGATTCTAAATTCAGTGAATTTCATCGAAATTGTATGCACATATACAAGTGTGGACAATGATTTGTGCCTCTTTAGATACATATAGCGAAGCAAATTCAAAAGATGCCCACCCTAATCTAACTCGTTCCAATCAGAAGAATTTTCATGTCAAAAACCAAATTAGATTATTGAAAATTGACGTTTGACCAATTAGGATAACATGAGCCAAGATCGAAACAACTTGTTTCATCGAATTCTGACTTCTAATTCGCGATCTTTAACTTCTAATGCCAGTCTAATACGAGCTTTATGAGGCGATTTCTTCCAATAGAATAGGATAAGCATCTACTGTCTCACTAAATTTAGAGAGAAGAGAGGATGAATCATTGTCCACGGGTGTATCGCTTCACGGTACCGAGTAAATCAACTTGTTTTATGATATCTACGATTTCCTGCGCAATATCGGCACGCAATTGCAACATTCTAAATTCATCTGTGAATCTTTTGCTCCTCACCGTGGGCTCCACTGAGAGAAAAAAATGCCTAAAAACAAACGAATATTTTCATTGGTGGGTCCTTACACGATATTTCCTTAAATCTAAATTTACTCGATTTAAATCGAGTGTTATTTCCTTAAACCGAGTAAATAATACTCGGTTTAAATAAAGTGAATTTACCGCGACCCACCGAAGAAATATTCGTTTGCTTTTAGAAATGTTTTTTTTTCAGCGTATTTATCCGCAGAGGTGTGGGAGAAAAACATTTTCTGGTTCATGGGGAAAGACAAGACTTACGATAAGGTACATTAACTATATGCGTGTAAATTCGTATCTCAAGCGAGGTAATGATCCGCTGAGCCCGTTCGCGCGCAGTAGGAAGGCTGCATAATCAGTTGAAACGAACGGAACGCACAAATCCTCTTTTATACTCCGGAAAACACGCATCATCCCTTGCCCCCGGCGCGGTCACCGGTGGATCGGGGTTTTCGGGTAAAGAACTTGCGGTTATATCGCAACATCGTGTTCTTCAGTCAGATCTTATCGAATAATGCATGTGATATATTAAAAATATTTGTATAAAGACACGTTTTTTTCTACTAATTGATTATAATAATAAATATTTATTTATAACAAAATGCACCACTACGCGCATTCTTGTGAGCGTGCATCGCTCGTATCGTATATGTGTGTGTGTGTGTGTGTGTGTGTGTGTGTGTGTGTGTGTGTGTGTGTGTGTGTGTGTGTTGTATACGCGCGCGCGCGCGTGTGTATGTGTGGCGGAACGATACATCCGTTCAGCAGGAACCTGTATAGTTAACGTCGGCAAATAACGTGACCGGTCGCGTAGCGATCACTCCTCGAGCGCGCGGAAGAAGTTGACGGCACATTCGAGGAACCATCAGCACGGTCCACCCGCACGGTCGTTCAAATACCTCTGAAAGCGTGAGCCTGAAATGCGCGCGACCACGGTAAATCCTGAGAGAGGTCTCGCCCCGTAACAAACGCATGGCCGGCGGTGTCACATGTTCACCTCCCAGAGCTTAAAATAATTATCGATCACTTCGAGGAACCACTCGCGCCTCTTGGGATCCTTGAAGGCGGGCGCCAATGTCCGCAGTTGCAACTGCAACAACGCCTCGTCGTCCAACAAACCGTTCAGCTGCTTGAGCAGCGCCGTGTCGCCGTGCAGCTTCAGTAGGCTGGCGTAGGTGAAGATATAATATTGCACTCGAAGACGTTGCACCGCCCATGCCTCCACGCTGCGGTTACCGCTCGCCGATTGTATGGAGCCCATGTGCTCCGCGTACCACGGCGAGAAGTAGTTGCTTAGCTCGAGCGTCGACAGCTCCGCCACACCGCGCGTCTTCAGCCGTTCTTTTATCCGCGAGTACACCTGCGGGGTGTACACGAAAACCTGAGGAAGACGAAAGCAGAGTTGGGTGAGTTGATTTTTTTTAGACATGTTCAATTGAAAGTGAATTGTCTACTAATTGAATAAGTTCACGTTAGAAGACAGACGTAAATAAAAATTAACTGTTAAATTAAAAGTTAACGATCACATTAACTGGTATTGAAGTTAAAAGTGAAATGTTAACTGTGCAAAGCAGCTATATTTAAATACAGGGTGCCTTTCAGACCAACAAACTTCCATATAAGCACGTTATATTATTTAATATTAAGTAACATTGCTAATTATAAGAATATTAATAAATTGTTATAAGTTTAACCCTAGTAATATTTAAAAAAATAATATTATTTAATGTTATTGTTATATTATATATTTTTCAAGTATTCAACTCTATGTATATATATAATATATAGATCATAGGCGTGGTAACGAAAGACCTTAGCTCGTCACATATATAAACACAATTTAAATTTCGACAGCAGAGCCTGGCAGCGGCAGTGTTTCATGAGTCTCCTCGAAACAGTCGTCGAGTCGATATCTATTCTGGGTACAGTGAATATACTTTCTTATGTCCGTTAGATTTCGAATTTCGTTTATTACATATATCTGAAAAAAAAATTGCTATAAGTAACATATTACCAGCGACAGTGATTAATTTACATGCAGACATATTGTTCTGAAAGTGATGGCGCAACAAAATGTAACGTTAAAGTGTATTCCAGTTATCAACTATAACTACTTTTTCAATCCAAACATTTGTCACGTTTGTAAGTGCACAGTTCAGAGAACGCTGAAAACATGTATTCTATGTGATATGATCGCTTACTGCAGCGAGGAGCACAGAGTCCTGCACCGAAGACAGCATGAGACGATCTGTCACGCCATAATAAAGGTAAACCACCAGAAAGGGATAAAGAACATTGGAATAATGTCGATAGAGACATGGACCAAGTTTCAAAAGGAGAATATGCAATTAATACAGACTATTCTATGTCGTGATCTGGAGAAGTACGAAAAGCAAATGTTCCTATTCTCAAAGTCATGTTTTATGTGTCGTAAACAGGACAACTTGATTGGGACTTGCGGAGAGTGCAAGTCTATCAACAGGTGTCCTGAGCACTCATTTACTGGTAGTCATGAATGTACCATGCTGCGACTTTGTCTCCAATTGGATATTTTCTGCGCTGCGGGGAATGCATCGATTAGCACAATCCCGAAAGAATATCTGGATTTTAATAGCGATTTTAACGACATGCAGTCATTTATAGAACGTTTTTGTGAAATGCAAAATTATAACGCAGTAACTGTAACTTCTTGGATGCCATTACATTATATAATTAGTGAAAAGCTCTCAGGTCCGATGACGCTATGTAATGTTCTTGTGAGAGAAAGATTATTAATTGAACAGCCAATAAATCATGTCTTCGAAATTCATATTATTGCTGAAAGTACTATGGATGCGTTCAGTTTATCAGCATGGGAAATGGTCTTACATGTTTTATCCCCGAGTACAAGGCTGGTAATTGTAACGACTGGAAAGAAAGCATCACAAAATTGGATTGAATTTCAAGTTTGCGAACAATGCAAGCAAAGTCGTAAAACACTTTGTTATAAAAGTCATCCTATGTTATACGATAAACACACATCGTGGTACGGAAAAATACGACCAATGATAATTCTAGTATTTCATGACGAGTATGAGGATGACCTGATATCAGTTGAAACTTTGAGATCGTTACAGGTTATGGGTTGCCCAATAATATTAACGACTAAATCGAATATATCCATGGAGTTCACAACAAAGATAGAACAAGCATTAAGTTTCGACAAACCTTTCCCGTACCGTATTTGCAAAGTCAATAAATTCTCGTCTAGTAGACCACAAAGAGACATTCGGAGTGGCTCAGTATTTTTCTCGAATACACATTTATTTGTATATGATGATCTAAATACTCTGAGTAATACAGCTCAAGTTTGTAGCAGTGTTATTAGTAATGTTGAAAAATATTAAATTTTATCAACAATCTTGTTTGGTATCTTTAAAAAAATATGCAAATAAACTTATACTTTAATTATTGATATTGCTGTAATATTTCCATTTTTCGATTTTATTTTTTTTTAGGAACATGCTTTGAAAATACATTTATCGCAATTATATTGTTTTTTGTAAAACTTTGTAAAATATTACTGGCGATTTTGTTAACGTATATTATGATTAATGGAAGTATTTTCGGAAAACTCGAGTTAATGAAACACTACAAGAACAATAATATGCGTCTGCGCGTAATACGAAACCAATTACGTGTTTTAATTTATGCTCTTCAAGCGATTCACTTCATGTCGGTATCGCATCTCGTGTATGATTATATGTTCAATTTGAAAATATTATTGTAAATGATGACAAAATGGATTCTTCTTATTTATTATAGTCATAGTTTATATATGTAATATATTTATGTATGAGTCAATTATTTTTATTAGAACATATTTTGTAGGAACGTTACTTGTACTTATTACGTATGCGTATTATTTCGATGTTTTTAGCTTCAACCATCATAATTCCGTTTTAAATTCAAATATGTTCCCGTCGTTTAGTGAATTTTCAAATGTTAACTTTAAAATTTTAAATTCACTATATAATTTGTCGTTCACATGATCTTACCTAAAATATTATCGAATATGATGACGTCCGACAAGTAGCGTATCAGACACCGCATTCGTTTTGCTTTCGAATTGAAAAAATTTCTGCCGAATTTATAAATATGATTTACTTAGGTTTGGGAAAAAATGTTGTATTTGAGGGAAATTATCGCATAAAATCTGTAAAAAATGATTAATTATGTATAAGAAATGATGAATAATAATGATAATAATAAGTTTCGTAGTGGTTATTTTTGTCTTATCGATAAATAATATTCCGGCCCGGAAAAATTTGAAGATGGAGAGTTTGAGTAATCGTTGAATGGAAATTCCGCTGAAACTTGAAATGAACTTGCGTTACAAGTAGAAATAATTCGCCAACTAATTTCCATTCGGTTATAAGTTGGGTAAAATATAAAAACTAGTTCAATGGATTCCGCACAAGCTCAGCCCGAAAAGCAAACATTTCGATATGGCAATATTCTTATTAACAAAATACAAAAGGAGGACTTTTGTACAAAATCATCACTGGCGATGGGAAGTAGGTTTTATAGGACAATATTAATCCTTTGCACTCCAGCCTAGTAATGCATAGAGGCTATTAGTTCCAAGTACATACCTATGATGTAGAAGAAAAATAGAGTCGTTTCAATAAAACAAAATTTTTATTTCTTAGCTATTTTATAACAAAACATATTCTAACTTATATTATAAAAGAAAAACATAAATTTTAGGACTTAAAATTTCTTAAAGTGCCGAGGCAGCAAAACAACCATGTAGCCGCTACGGCGACAGCGGAGTGCAAAGGGTTAAAAGAAAAAAATCATGGGCTGACCCTGATCAGCTCGGACGCCTAGTTTTTTTATAACATCATTGTTGTTAAAATAAATAATTATAAGATTAATTAGTTACCTTTATTAATGGATGACGGGTAACAATAAGCTATTTTTGAAAAATAATATACTCTTTTTCATTCTTTTGTAGTTATAAGTATATAAAGTGGTCACGTGCAACATCAATATATGCAAAACTCTTATCACACAAATTTTATATGAAATATTTCTCACATATACAAATATATATACAAATTTCTTTTGTAGAAATTTCTTTTATGATAATATTTTCTTTTATTCAATTCTGTTCGTATGACGGAACATGTGGTAACGAATATCCTTAGTTCGTTATATATGTAAACACAATTTAAATTTCGTCAACAGAGCTTGGCAGCAGCAGTTCTACATATTTAATGAGTGTCCTCAGAACAGTCATCAAGTCAATATCTATTCTGAATAAAGCGCATATACTTTCTAACGTTTGTTAGATTTCGAATTTCGCTCATTATATATTTCCGAAAAAAACTGTTATAAGTAACATATCACATGCGACAGTTACTAATTTATACGCAGTCATATTGCTTTGAAAGTGATGGCGCATCAATATGTAACGTTTAAGAGTACTCCACTTGACAACTATAACTACTTTTTCAATCCAAACGTTTGTCACGTTTGTAAGTGCACAGTTGAGAGTACGCTGAAAACATGTATTCTATGTGACATGATCTCTTACTGCAGCGAGGAGCACAGAATACTACACCGACAACAGCATGAGATGATCTGTTCCGCTATAATAAAGGTAAACCAGCGGAAAGGGATAAAGAACATTGGAATAATGTCGATTGAGACATGGACCAAGTTTCAAAAGGAGAATATACAATTAATACAGAGCATTCTATGTCGTGATCTGGAGAAGTACGAAAAGCAAATGTTCCTATTCGCAAAGTCATGTTACATGTGTCGTAAACAGGTCAACTTGATTGGGACTTGCGGAGAGTGCAAGTCTATCAACATTTGTCCTGAGCACTCATCTACTGGTAATCATGAATGCTCCATGCTGCGACTTTGTCTCACATTGGATATTTGCAACGCTACGTGGAATAATGTACCGATTAGCACAATCCCTAAAGAATATCTGGATTTTAATGGCGCTCTTAACGACATGCAGTCATTTATAAGACGCTTTTGTGCAGTGCAAATTTATAACGAAGGAACTGTAATTTCTTGGGAGCCATTAGATTATATAATTAGTGAAAAGCTCTCAGGTCCGATGACGCTGTGTAATGTTCTTGTGAGAGAAGGATTATTAATTGTACAGCCAATTATTCGTTTCATCGAAATTCATATTATTGCTGAAAATGCTATGGATGTGCTCAGTTTATCAGCATGGGAAATAGTCTTACATGTTTTTCCCCCGAATACAAAGCTGGTAATTGTAACGATTGGAAAGAAAGCACCATATATTTGGATTGAATTTCAAGTTTGCGAACAATGCAAGCAACTTCATAAAGCACTTCGTTATGAAAGTCATACTATGTCATACACTAATTACACATCGCGGTACGGAAAAATACGACCAATTATAATTCTAGTGTTTCATGACGAGTATGAGGATGACCTGCTATCAGTTGAAAATTTAAGAACGTTACAGCTTATAGGTTGCCCAGTAATATTAACGACTAAATCGATCAATATATCCTTTGAGCTCACAATAAGGATAAAACTAATATTAAGTTTCGATACACCTTTGCCATACTGTATTTACAAAATCAATAAATTCTCGTCTCGTAGACCGCAAAGAGACATTGGGAGTTGCTCAGTATTTTTCTCTAATACACATTTAGTTGTATATGATAATCTAAATACTCTGAGTAATGCAGCTCAAGCTTGTAGCAGTGTTATTAGAAATGTTTAAAAATATTAAATTTTATCAACAGAGTTGTTTGGTATCATTAATAAAAAATACAAATAAACTTATACTTTAATTATTGATATTGCTGTAACATTTCTATTTTTTCGATTTTATTTTTTTTTAAGAACACGCTTTGAAAATACGTTTATCGCAATTATATTGTTTTTTGTAAAATTTTGTGAAATATTACTGGCGATGTTCTTAACGTATATTATTATTAATGGAAGTATTTTCCGAAAACTCGAGTTAATGCAAAAACTACAAGAACGATAATATGCTTCTGCGCGTGATACGCAACCAATTATGTGTTTTATTTTATGCTCTTCAAGCGATTCACCTCATGTCGGTACCACATCTCGTGTATGATTATATATTCAATTTGAAAATATTATTGTAAATGATGACAAAATGGATTCTTCTTACTTGTTATAGTTTTAGTTTATATAAGTAATATATTTATATATGAGTCAATTATTTTTATTAGAACATATTTTACAGGAACATTACTTGTACTTATTACGTACGCGTATTATTTCGATGTTTTTAATTTAAACCATCATTATTCCGTTTTACATTCAAATATGTTCCCGTCGTTTAATGAATTCTCAAATGTTAACTTTAAAGTTTTAAATTCACTATCTAATCTATCTTGGCGTTCACATGACCTTACCTAAAATATTATCGAATATGATGATGTCCAACAAGTAGCGTATCAGACACCGCATTCGTTTTGCTTTCGAATTGAAAAAAATTATACCGAAACTATAAATATGATTTACTTAGATTTGAGGAAAAATGTTACATTTGAGAGAAATTAACGCATAAAATCTGTAAAAAATGATTAATTATGTATAAGAAGTGATGAATAATAATGTTAATGAAAAGCTTCGAAGTGGTTATTTTTGTCTTATCTATAAATAATATTCCGGCACAGAAAAATTTGAAGATGGAGAGTTTGAGTAATTGTTGAATCGAAATGTTCCGATACAAAAAAATTTGAAGACGAAAAGTGTGAGCAATTGTTGAATGAAAATCCCGCTGACACAAGATGAGCTTGCGTTACATGTAGGAGTAACTTGCCAATTAATTTCCGTACGCTTATATAAGCCGGACAAAATTCAAAAACTAGGCCGATTCCGCATGAGCTCAGCCCGAAGAGCAAGTAATTCGCTAAGGTAATATCCTTGTTAATAAATTAAAAAAGGAAAGACTTTTACAAAATCATTACTGGCAATGAGAAGTGAGTTCTGCATGAATAAAAATCAGAATTTCTGCATGAATACTAAAAGAAGAAAATCGTGGATTGACCCTGATCAATTCAGACGCCCAGTTCTCTTATAACACCATTGTTGTTAAAATAAATAATTATAAGATTAATCGGTTACCTTTATTAATGGAAATCAGTAACAATAAATTATTTTTGAAAAATAATATACTCTTCTATTCTTTTGTAGTTATAAATAAATAAAGTGAATGTGTACCACATGCAGCGTCAATATAAGCAAAGTTGTTATCACACAAATTTGATATGAAATAATTCTCACATGACTTAAGTTTCTGATATCGTGTCTTATGTAGAAATTTTTTTTATAATAATATTTTCTTTTATTCAATTTGTTCGTATGACGGAACATGTGGTAACGAATGACTTTAGGTCGTTATATATGTAAACACAATTTAAATTTCGTCAACAGAGCCTGGCATCAGCAGTTCTACATATTTAATGAGTATCCTCGGAACAGTCATCAAGTCAATATCTATTCTGAATACAGCGGGTATACTTTCTTACGTTCGTTAGATTTCGAATTTCGTTCATTATATATTTCCGAAATAACTGTTATAAGTAACATATCACCAGCGACAGTTACTAATTTATACGCAGACATATTGCTCTGAAAGTGATGGCGCGTCAAGATGTATTTGAGTGTACTCCAGTTAAATACTATAACTACTTTTTCAATCCAAACGTTTGTCACGTTTGTAAGTGCACAGTTCAGAGTGTACTGAAAACATGTATTCTATGTGACATGATCTCTTACTGCAGCGAGGAGCATAGAATCTTGCACCGAAATCAGCATGAGATGATCTGTTCCGCTATAATAAAGGTAAACCAGCGGAAAGGGATAAAGAACATTGGAATAATGACGACACATATATGGAGCAAGTATCAAAAGGAAAATATAACATCTATACAGGAAATTCTATGTCGTGATCTAGAGAAGTACGAAAAGCAAATGTTCCTATTCGCAAAGTCATGTCACATGTGTCGTAAACAGGTCAACTTGGTTGGGACTTGCGCAAAGTGCATGTCTATCAACAGTTGTCCTGAGCACTCATCTACTGATGATCATGAATGCTCCATACTGCGACTTTGTTTCCAATTAGATGTTTGTAGCTCTACGTCGGATATACCGATTAGCACAATCCCGAAAGTATGTCTGGATTTTAATGGCGATTTTACCGACATGCATTCATTTATAGATCGCTTTTGTGCAGTGCGAAATTCTAACGAAGTAACTGTAACTTCTTGGTTGCCATTAGATTATTTAATTAGTGAAAAGCTCTCAGGTCCGATGACGCTATGTAATGTTCTTGTGAAAGAAGAATTATTAATTGTACTGCCAATAAATCATTTCATCGAAATTCATATTATTGCTGAAAGTACAATGGATATGCTCAGTTTATCAGCATGGGAAATGGTCTTGCATGTTTTTCCCCCGAATACAAAGCTGGTAATTGTAACGATTGGAAAGAAAGCACCATATATTTGGTTTGAATTTCAAGTTTGCGAACAATGCAAGCAACAACATAAAACACTTCGTTATAAAAGTCATCCTATGTCATACACTAGATATACAATCTGGTACGGAAGAATACGACCAATTATAATTCTAGTATTTCATGACGAGCATGAGGATGACCTGCTATCAGTTGAAACTTTGAGAACGTTACAGCTTATAGGTTGCCCAATAATATTAACGACTAAAGTGATCAATATGGCCTTGGAGCTCGCAGTAAAGATAAAACAAGCATTAACTTTCGATAAACCTTTGCCATTCCGTATTTGCAACATCAATAATTTCGCGTCTCGTAGACCACAAAGAGACTTTCGGAGTGGCTCAGTATTTTACTCTAATAGATATTTAGTTATATATGATAATCTAAGTATTTGAGTTATCCAGCTCAAGCTTGTAGCAGTGATATTAGTAATGTTTACAAATATTAAATTTGATCAACAATCTTGTTTGGTATCATTAAAAAAAAACAAATAAATTTATATTTTATTTATATTGCTGTAATTATTGATATTGCTGTAACATTTCTATTATTTCGATTTTATTTTTTTTTTTAGGAACATGCTTTGAAAATACATTTATCGTAATTATATTGTTTTTTGTAAAATTTTGTGAAATATTACTGGCGATGTTATTAACGTATATTATGATTAATGGAAGTATTTTCCGAAAACTCGAGTTAATGCAAAAACTACAAGAACGATAATATGCTTTTGCGCGTGGTACGCAACCAATTATGTGTTTTAATTTATGCTCTTCAAGTGATTCACCTCATGTCGGTATCACATCTCGTGTATGATTATATGTTCAATTTGAAAATATTATTGTAAATGATGACAAAATGGATTCTTCTTATTTGTTATAGTCATAGTTTATATATGTAATATATTTGTATATGAGTCAATTATTTTTATTAGAACATATTTTGTAGGAACGTTACTTGTACTTATTACGTATGCGTATTATTTCGATGTTTTTAGCTTCAACCATCATAATTACGTTTTAAATTCAAATATGTTCCCGTCGTTTAGTGAATTTTCAAATGTTAACTTTAAAGTTTTAAATTCACTATATAATTTGTCGTTCACATGATCTTACCTAAAATATTTTCGAATATGATGACGTCCGACAAGTAGCGTATCAGACACCGCATTCATTTTGCTTTCGAATTGAAAAAATTTCTGCCGAATTTATAAATATGATTTACTTAGGTTTGGGAAAAAATGTTGTATTTGAGGGAAATTATCGCATAAAATCTGTAAAAAATGATTAATTATGTATAAGAAATGATGAATAATAATGATAATAATAAGTTTCGTAGTGGTTATTTTTGTCTTATCGATAAATAATATTCCGGCCCGGAAAAATTTGAAGATGGAGAGTTTGAGTAATCGTTGAATGGAAATTCCGCTGAAACTTGAAATGAACTTGCGTTACAAGTAGGAATAATTCGCCAACTAATTTCCATTCGGTTATAAGCTGGGTAAAATTCAAACACTAGTTCAATGGATTCCGCACAAGCTCAGCCCGAAAAGCAAACATTTCGATATGGCAATATTCTTATTAACAAAATACAAAAGGAGGACTTTTGTACAAAATCATCACTGGCGATGGGAAGTAGGTTTTATAGGACAATATTAATAGAAGAAAATCATGGGTTGACCCTGATCAACTCATTATTTTTTTTCGAAATATGCTTTGAAGACACATTTATTGCAATTATGTCGTTTTTTTTTGTAAAATTTTGTGAAGTATTACTGACGGTGTTTTTAATATATGTTATGATTCATGGAAATATTTTCGGAATGCTCGAGTTAATGCAAAAACTATAAGAACGAAAATATGCATTCGCGGGTAATACACAACCAATTATGTTTTAATTTATGTTCTTGAAACAATTCAACTCATGTCGGCATCACTACTCATGTATAATTATATAGTCACTCTGACAAAATTATTGTAAATAATGGCAAAATGGATTCTTCTTATTTGTATAGTTTATACATGTGGTATATTTATGTGCGAATTCAATTATTTTTATCAATGCATATTTTAATCATAGTTTATTTTTATTTTAAAGCATATTTTAGTACATCACTCGTATTTATTAACCGCGCGTGTTAATTTGATGCTTTACCTTTGCTCAATCGTAACTCCGCTTTAAATTCAAATATGTCCCCGCCGTTTAGTATGTTTTAAAATGCGCTATATAGTTGGTAAAGCTGACTGTATGACCTCACAAAATAGTATCAAGAATTCTTACAAGAACTTTTACAAGAATTTTATAGATATAGATCTTCCAGCATGCACAAAGAAAAAAAAATTATCACTTTATATCCTTCCGTGATTTTCTTCTCAACATCGGCGGCTGGTAACTTATCCACATAGTACGGAATGCAAAACCACGAAAGGATATGAAGTAATAATTTTTTCCTTCGTGCATGCTAAAAGGTCTCAACAAGTTTTCTTTTAAGCCTCAATGTAGAGGAAATGACCAAAAGTTTTAAAAACACAATAGTAATTAATTAATTATATATAAATGATCTATGTATAAACTTCATATATAATTTTATATGATTATATATATATATATATATATATATATGTGTGTGTATATAGCCATGCATGATCATGCATAAAAGATTTTTCAATAGGTTCTAATGTCATCAAACAAGACAACAGCAACGAGAAACTATAAGTCTTAATAATCGAATATCGAGAGCATTTGCACACAGCTTCAAGATAGCATTGAAATTACATAGAATTAAAGATTTAAAAGAGAGAAAGAAGTTAACAAAAGAAAGATCACATATAAAATTTGCCTATATATAATTATATATGTCCACAACGAAAAAGTACTATTGTTTACAAATTATATGCAAATATAATCGAAATAAATGCTTCTAGTCACTTGTGCTTCCGACATGGATATCGACATTTAATTAAATAGCATCACATTTTCCTATAGACATATATAATCATATATATGACCACATGTACGCAAAATTCATGTTTAATTTTATAATTATACGTAATCATATTGGGTGAGTGCAAAAGTTCGTGCGGAGGTGCAATAGATGGCGT